ACAAATTTCATCATTCAAGTTCGAAAACTGTGGCCATAATCACTTAGGTCCCGAGAGATGACCCCTCTAATTTTAATAGGTGAGGAAGTGGCTTGACTTATCTTGATGCTTTCCAGATAATGTTTAGACAAAGAATGTCTGCATTATTCTTTCTCAGTCTGAAATCTGCAGATCTAGTACTAGGGAGGAAGCCTGGAAAACAATGACCTCCTTGTCAGGGACTCTGGTTTCGGTTGGGAACGGTCACTTGGCCTGTTCAGTTAATAAGCCCCAGAAACCTTCTGAATTAGAAAGAGCAAAGGATGTTAGTTTAGAAGGTCAGAGGGTTAACAATAGAAAGAGTAGTTGTACTCAAGGTCATTTACTGAGCAAAGTTTAGCAGGACAAAACAAAGCTGGGAGAAGAATTGGTGGGAGTTAGAACACCTACAGCTTACATATTTCTGGACCTCATCTTCTCTTAGTATAAATTGCCATGTCTTCCTTGAAACTGGTACAGTTATGACTGTTTGTATTGGTAAGAACTAGCTCAAATGCTTAGACTTACTGCTTCGAAATGGGCTGATGAAAAGCCTTTAGAAGACATTTGGAATTTTAAATTGAATTAATGGATAAGATCCTTATTTCCTGGTTCTAATTTATGTGGAATGCTAAATACTCTGTTTGGTTAGGAAAGGGAAAATGAAGTTTCTTCATCTTCTTTTTGTCTGCCAGATGTAGTGGAAAGCTTTTGAATTTAGCACATACACAAAGGTCAGGGCACCAGAGTAAAACCTCCGGTTGTGCAAATGGCACGGCCTCTATAGCTTCGGGACATGGCCCTGTTGGGAGTTCAGTCCAGACCTAAATGAGAATATATTCTTTTGAATTCATTCATTCTTCTTCTGGACATTTGGAAAAAAATGCCATGGTCCTCTATCCCTGGAGATGAAGGTCCTTTAAGAATCTCTAATGACCACACATCAGCTCGGTCCATCTGCCTGACTAAGTCAGTCTTAATAGACCTGCATTGTCTTCAGAGAGCTGACACAGTCTGATTACTTTTCTATTGACAGCTATGGCTTTATTAATGCCTTTTGTTCAAGAAAAGGAGAATTGCTGGGTTCCTGAAAACCTCTATGAAAATCCCTGGTTTCAAATGTCATGGTAACCCCTTTATGAAAAAGCAACAACTCTTCTGCATTAGTAATTATAGGGAGCATTTCCAATTTAACAACTTCAGCAATGTCACAGCCTGAAACAGCAAAGCAAGGCTGTGACACGTAGAGCCCTGCTCTCACTTTTCTAGCATTGTTCAGATTTTTGTAGTGACCACATGGGGAAACTACCAGACATAGCTCAAAGGAAAGGTTGGGTTTTAAGAGCTGCTTTATTACCTCTACCGTTTGCCTAACTGAAGCCCACATTTGGAGACATCAAATAAATACATCCTATGAGCTATTTTCTTAAAAGCCTCTGATAGAGGAACAGGAACTTTGCTCCTGACTGTTGGACATACTTATGAAGGACTCTCTGGCTTGGAGCTGGCTTGATTTTATCTGCTAGAGTTTTATGTAGACCAGTGTATCCCAGCCTCAGCCTAGGAAGCTCCTGCCTCAGATCCTCTACTCTCCTGGCTTAGTCCTTATCTTAGGTTGCCTCTGAGCAGGTGCAGTAACTTGACTGCTTAAAGAGATGTTTGTTATCTTGTCTGAAGTGGAGGTGTTGTGCTGAAGGGGAACACCTCCAAAATTAGTCAAATCAGTCTGAATAGCTTCCTTCAGCTAAAGAAAAGGAAAGTTGAGGAAAGAGAAAAGGATGCTAAATTTGCTAGCTTGTGAAAAAACCTATTGGGACTTTCCATGACCTTCTTCGTTCAGAGAGCCATCCTTGACTAAGAGTTCCACAAAAAAATCCATTAAAACATGTGTAATGCTCTTCACAGAGGGTGACTTTCACCTCAGGCCATGGATTCAGAAATCAATAAATCCTTGGTTTAGTTTTTTCTTTCTGAATTACATTGTTTTGCCCAATAAAACAGAAAGCTCTGTTTGATCATGTGAATAGATTTTTTTCCTTCCTGTTCATACAATACTGTATTTTAACATTGGCAGATTGTTAATGTTGCTTCTAAGCTGTCACTTTCTGCCATGTTGCTTTGTCTGAACCAGAGGGGCTTGAGGATTGATGACTCCCTTTCAGCTGCCAAGCCACAGGCAGAATCTGACTTTCAAGAGGCAGGAATTGTTCAAGGCAGCTGGTGGTAGCTGGGCAGTTTGGACAGAAGGTAATGTCACTTACATTCCTCACACTTTCAGTCAATGCTCAAATTTGATATGCTACAAGTGCTCAAATGTAAGTTAAAAGGTCCAGCTACTGAAAATCTACATTGGATGTTGGTTATTCAGTATGGCCCCTCTACAAAATTATTTAACAGTTTGTAAGTCATTTTCCAAAACAGTTTCCAAAAATTCTAAACTAATTTATATTACAGACAGAGCATTATTCTTGAGATGGAGTGATCTTGGTTTTCCTCTTTCCTGATATTTGTGGCTTTATTCTGGTACTGGCCCAGGAAAACATACTCATGAGTACCTTTAAAGCACAGTTCATGGTGATTGTGTTACTATGTTGCTACTACACATTGCTGGATCAGGATCAAGTTGCTCAGCAGTCTGCAGAATTAATGCCCAAGTGAAACAACAGTCAAACTCCCTTTGTTTTCAGAGTCAGAAAAGCAAATTCTACTTTGGTTAAGAAAACAATTCTCAATTTTATTGTATCCTTGTAGCACATCAGAAGATAGAGCAGGTGACCACCTTAAAGCCTGATTGTTGGAAAGAACACAGATCAACTAGTTCCCCCTGAAAGGGAATATTACAGGGAAGGAATTAAAATAATCATATCTATTTTTCTTACTGAACATAAAACTGGCAAAAAGTTTGCTGTGTGGTCCTAACAATGGAAGAATTAGTTTACTTTCCTATTAGTTAGGTCTCAAAAAGGAAAAGGATAGCTTGGCATTGGAAATCCCTCTATCATTTCTGTTTGGGAATAGTCAGTATTCTTTCAACTTAATCAGAATGCACTAGAATATATGGTGCAACACTGCAGAAATGCTGTTGATGTTGCACACTTCATATTACATTTCACCTATTGCCATGCTAGAGGCCCATTGTAAATTAATTTGGCAGATAAATTTACGATGGCAATTTGCCTTCCAGTTGTACAATTTATTCATGTCAGAAATAATTTATTATATTGTCCCTTAAGCCAATTTTTTTTTTTTTCTTCCTAGGGTACCACCTTAGTAAATAAAATCTATTGTTTACACTGAGCCTTGTGTGACTTCACAGTGGTCAGTCAATAACCTCAAGGGGATAGTTTTGGTCACATTACTGGTCACTTATTTGTATAGATGATGGAGTACCCTGGTCCCATCTGTACACGTATTACTTTCCTTTGTCTTAGAGGCACTGTTGGAAAGATTAATTAGGTCCATCTGTAGGAAAGTATCAGCCTTAAGGGATTCAGGTAAATAAAATAAATGCCAAGGGGAAAAAATGCTGAGGGGCATGTTTTGAAAGTCAAACTGGTTTTCATAACATTAATGGGGAAATTACACACAGAAGGAGATTGAAAGAAAAGTAAAACTGTCATGTAGTCTGGATTATTTCAGCATGACCAATAAACATCTCCTATTGCTGCTGTGCTGAAAAAGGATCTATGACGTGGACTAAAGTAAAAGACCATGGGCAACATTCTCAGCTAATATAAATCAGTGTAACTGTCTAATCTTCACTTTATAACAGTAGAGACTTGAGTCATGCCTGCCAGAGTGATGTTATTTCTGTCCTTCCTTTGAGTGATCCAACATGATCTGATTCACATTCTGTCTTTTTTTTTTTTTTCTTATAGTGGTACTATGTACCTTATGGGTCTTCCATCACACCTCTGTTTTCCTTTCCTTTAAGCTTCTTTCCATATTTTCTTCCTTATTTTTCCTTCCCTCTCCTTCAAGCAGTTCAGCATGCAAATGAGTCTCATAGCATTGAGCTAACTGATATGATCACAGCTTGTATAAGAGAAACTCAGCTCTTACTGACTTTTATATCATTTATTATTTTGTATGTAATTAATTGGTGTAACTAGTGCATAAACCATGTGAAATTTGTTGCCATTTAAGTTACACCTCATTCTGTTGCCTTATCGGCCTAAGTGGGGATTTGTGTTCCACCATGCAATGGAGTTACAATCCACAATGTTTTCATGAAACACCAAATGGAAAAACAGAAAGATAATTTTTCACTGAGCTTTGGCTGTCTTAAGGGACATAAATACTAGAGATGTTTTGCTTTTAAACTGTTGTTGGGGCAAAGTTAGGTTCCTTTTGACTTTGGAGTTTAACTCATTATGACTTCTAAATTAATTAGTAAAGCTATAGAAACATGAAGGTTTATTTTTGAGAACAAGAGGAAAACCATAAATTATTTAAAAGAAAAAAGAAGCAGCGTGCAGAAAGGATACAAAAAGAAGTGTAACTCAAAGATTAAGGGGCAAATGACTGTTGGTGATCAGCTCAACTACTGTGTGTACATGAAGAACTATGGGTGAGAGGGAAGTCATTGCTTCTGGAAGTGCACATGCTTGTCTCCTGCTGGCAAGAGTAGACCCTCACTCTCAGAGGGGAGCAACTTCTTCTGGAGTTGAACTTCGAAGTCTAATTCTGAATAGTTGCTAAGTCTGCATTACACAGTGCTGGAAGGAAACTGCCTCTGTGTGTGAATGAGGTCTGAATCTGTACACATTGCCACAGAGAGGCAGTTAGACTCTCTAGAGTGTAGCTGGGTTTTTGTTTTAGAAGCTGTATTGTGTAGGTAGAACAGTGCCTCGTGGTATTTAGGTAAGATTATAACATAAATCAAAATGTAATTTAATATCTCTATATTTAGGATAAATAGTTCAATGTGCTGCCATTGCAGAATAGAGGCTTTATTGACTGAAGGCACTTCTTCCTCCCAGCCTGATGCACTTTCTGGATGAAGGGTATTTTGAAGGCTCCCTCTTGGTCCTCATGAAACAGGTCAATGGTCACGGTGCAACACGTAGAACGCGCATCCTGCATCTTAGAGACATCCAGATCACATCTGCTGGAATAGTTCTTGTTTGTATCAGTGGGTCAGCAAACAAAAGAGCTTAAATGGTCCTTTAAAGAAGAAATTGTCCTTCCTTAAAATCTTCTGAGCCGATTTATTTTCTCATGTAGAGATAGGAGTTCCCATCTGGTTTGTGCTGCTCATACTCATTGTCATAGGTAGCTAAGGACTTTGTCCTGCAAAGAATGAGCCATAACACTTCCACTGGGCTCCAGGTATGCACATTCTGCAGGATTCTGGAAGCAAAGCATGTAGCATGTTTTCAGTTGTGCAGCTGGGAAGTTGAAACTGAGGATCTGAGCAGGGCTTTTCTTCAGTGTTTCATACAATATACAGGCTTGGTATGTGTTTGTTGGGCCTGCAGCCTTACATTTGAAAATCTTTGTCTTACTTGCAATAGGAAATTGTTTGTCTGTCTGTCTTTTTTTTTTTTTTTTTTTCCAAAGGGGGTTTTCTTTGAGGCAATTTGAAATTTTAAACAAAGTATTTCATATGGAGATGAATTTATTGTCATTTACTAAAACAACTGAAGAATGCTTCGTGCTCTGGTTTTTGTTTGGGGTTTGTGTTGCTCTGTTTCTCTTTTTAGAGAAACCCTGTTATTGGAAACATATATTCCTCTCTGAAATGTTCATTTCCTGCAAAAAAACAGATATCAAAATATTTCCATTAAAGAGCTATGCCAGGTCTCCAGGGTGTTCTTCTGGAAAGGCAGAAACAAAAATCAATAGAAAAAAGAGTAACAGTCAACAGACAAATACTTGATTGTGCACTATGGTTCTTACTCAGGTGAAGTTCTTCCTGGAATAAAAAATGACAGCAAATTTAAGCATATATATATGCCTAACATACTAAAGTAACTCCCAGAACTACTCATTTTCCAGGAGTAAAAACATTTTATACTCAAGTAACCTACGTGTTCATTTTACAGAATCTAACAAGTGAAGAATAATTGTGAATGGACCATGAAGTTGGTTCAGCAAAGGTTTTCCTATAATTAAAATACATCTGGCTCTGTCCTGTGTGGGAAATCACAGGCCTCTGAATGTTTTGACTATTTCCTTAAGCACAACAGCAGCAGAAAAACTCCATACACTTTAACCTGTCAAATTCTGTTCCATTTTATCATGTGGATAAATCAGCTGCAATAAGGAACTTTAATCTAGCATCTTTGATCTGAAGCTGAGGGATTCAAAGCAAAGACAATGGAAATGGTCATGGAAAGAAAGTATGAGGGGCTCAGAACAGCAGTCTAATCTTCAGCACACTAGTGCTAATTTAAGTAAGTGTAAAACAGCTTGCTGTGTTTCCCCATAAAACTTGTGACTGCCACGGCGTTGTTCTTCCTGATGGCAGTTCTGCACCTTCATCCTCCTGCTGCCAGCGGAGCGACAGAGCCCTGGGAACTGTGGCGGGGAGTGCTTTAGGCGCTGTGTATCTCTGTCCTTCACCCTCTCGAAGGGGAGACTCGGCTCAGGGCAGTGACAGCTTCTTTTCAACAGTTCCTTCTCCTGGAAAGTGTTCTGCTCCCTGCCACCCTTTAGACCTGCTGGCTGTCCCAGGGAGCAGTGCTGGGGGCAGGTTGGCAGCTGGGAGGCCCGTGCATGCAGGGGCTCGGGGTGAGGTGTGATGGGCTGCTGTGCCTCGGCCCTGCCGTGCTGGGGTCAGCCCAGCGTGAGCCTGGAGAGACTGGCGCCTGCTTGGATAGCTCTCTGCCTTCCCTGCCTGCCTCTGGGGCTTTTCATCAAGTCCTCACTGTCCACCTCATTTGTCGGACAAGTGGCAATCGGGCTCTCGTTCTTGGGCAGCTGTGGAGCCTGCAAGGCAGGCGGCAGACGGTGATAGATGGAGAGGGCAGGATGGATGGATGGATGGATGGATGGATGGATGGCCATAATTGGGAGGGGGCCGGCTGTCTGGCGGTGTGATGCTGGCCCGAGGGAAGGGGTGGGGGACCGGGTGGGTGTGCCCGGCTCTCCCTGCCGCTGCCGCCGCGGTCCGCCCCACTCACAAGGTGCCTGAGCCGGAGAGCGAGCAGCAGCGCCGCGTCCCCGCCGCCCCTCCGCAGCGCCCGTCCCGCCATGCCTAACTTCGCCGGCACTTGGAAGATGAAGAGCAGTGAGAATTTCGACGAGCTGCTCAAGGCGCTGGGTGAGTCGCGGGGGAGCCGGGCAGCGCGCCGTGTCCCGCGGGAGGGGAGCGGGGCGGCAGCGGCAGCTGCGCTCCGGTGCCCGGTGTCTCCCGGGAGAGCTCCGTGCGTCGGCCGCGGGCAGGAGCTCTCCCGCCGGTGCGGGGCATGGCTCAGAGCCCTACCCGGGAAGGGGCGGTCGAGGCACGGCACGGTCCCCGCCTCACCGACGAGCGCCGGCGGTCCTGCCCGAGCAGCTGGGCTGCCGCCGGCTCGGCGTTCTGCCGCGGGGATCTGTGCGAGAGCCCGCGTGTGCCGGCCGTGCCGAGCCTGCCCGAGCGCCGCCGCTGTGCTCTGGGGCTACGCGCGCTGCCCCGGCCTCTCACCCCGCTCCCCGGTCTGGGTGTGATGCTGGGCGAGGTCAGCCCAGGGCACGGCTGGCGACTTCAAGCTCTGCTTCCTCCCCGCTTCGCCCAGGTGTCAATGCCATGCTCAGGAAAGTGGCGGTGGCAGCCGCCTCCAAACCTCATGTGGAGATCCGCCAGGACGGGGACCAGTTCTACATCAAAACTTCCACCACTGTCCGCACCACTGAGATCAACTTCAAAATCGGGGAGCGCTTTGAGGAGGAGACGGTGGATGGACGAAAGTGCAGGGTAGGAGGAGAGCTGGGGCATGTGCGTATGTGTGTGGGGGGTGTGTGTTAGCAAATTCTTTTTAGATGGAACAAACACATCTGCTGCTGGTGTCCCCAGACAGCGGCATTGCTGCCCTCCACCCTCTTCTTGAAGCACTCCTGGGGGTTCTTGATGGTCACCACTTCTCTTGTCCCTCTTTTGGGGTAAAACTGAAATCTCAAGGCAACAGGACATGACAGGTCCCAAAAGCAGAATTCACGTGTCTGGTTTCCAGCTTGACAGGGTTTAGTTCTTCTCTTTTTGCTTCCCTCTCCCCTGAGGACCTCAGCTGCAGTGAAAGCTCTCCCCAGCTTCTGTCCCTGACACAAACATGGGAAATGGTGGAGCAAGAGAGACCTCAAGAGTCAGGATTTAGTGCACAAATCTGACATAGTTCTAGATTGAATCAGATGAGTTCTCAAGCAGGATCACAGACTGTTGGTTGGTTGGGGCTGAAATCCTCTTTCACACTCTTGCCGAGTGCATATGTCCAGTTTACTGATGATAGCTCTTTTATAGTGTAAGACAGGCTTTCAGCAGGTTTCATACCAGCCACAGTTATACCCTCTCCTTGAGCTGAAATGCATTAGAGGGCATTCCCTGGAGTGTTTTGGGCTTGGCTCTGTGTGTGAGACCCTGCTCCTCTACTGTTGTAGCCACTTATGTGGCCGTGGAGGAGGATTTAAGTCGGCAGCATCTGACACCAGGTCCTTGCTGGTGTAGATATGTGGGATCTGAGACCTGGGGAGCTGGACTGTGGTCACAGCTGCCTTTTGAAAACCATTATTGAAGGTTAGTTATGCTTTCTTCAGACAGTTTACTCTCCTAATTATAAAGAAGTATGTATAAGTATATATAAAACTCTTATAAAAGAAATACAAATAAAGATTATCAGAAGGTAGTCTCAAATGAGGATCCAGTTTTAAAAGTATCCAATGTTGGTGAAATAATCTACTTTCCAAAATATGATCTCTCCTAATTCTTGAGTCAGCCTTTGAGACCGTTTTTATCACTAAAAATTCAGAACTTACTGTCTTCAGTGCAATTGCTGCCAACATAAATTTATGAAAAAGGAAGCAGATTCTGGGAATCAGTGAATATTTAGACCATCCACTTGCTCTCTAGGATGAGTTATCATATATTTAACAGTTTGTCCAGGAAATGTCGCAGCCTTTGTTAATTTATCTTGTTCGACAAAAAGTGTATTCTTATATAATGCATATACAATAAATGTGACCTGCTTGCTAGAGAAGGATTTATTGTTGCAGATGGAAAAACAATAATTATGGCTGTAAGCTATGAAAGTTGGAAAAACCTGAAAGAAATTGGTTTTGTGAAGAAGTAAATTTTTTCCATGTGTTATGAAATTATTTATAGTCCACTCTCAGGAATAAGTTGTACTGCTGTGTGAATATCACCAAGATGTGGCCACAGAGCAGAAACTGGCAGATAATAAAATAATAGTCCAGAACGTAGTTTGCAGTATCTGGCAAAACTGCTGACTGGTGATAGATTTTGATATACTTTATGGGGTGGAAGGTTTTGTACTGCCAACTAACTTGATCCATTGTTTGTGCAGACAAAGAGGGCATCATATGTGGTTGTACTTCAAGGCACAGCTTCTATAACTGCCATTTGAGATGCTTGTTAGTTTATAAAATCTATTGTTTTGAAAAATATTTAAAAAGTAAACAGCTAATTTTAAATCAAAGTAAAGGGTTTTTCCCTTGGAAAGTCTGGGAAGTGTTAACTTGAATTTGGGCATACATATGCACACACACACACACACGTGTATATGTACATGTATATAATCACAGACTAATAAATGTCTCCCCTGTGTAGTTATAAAGCTTGAACATTCATTACAGGGCATCCTTCTGCACAGCTGTTCCATTGCACTGTGGAGGAATAGTTCAGTGCTCGAGTGAAAAGCAACAGAGTCAGGGCTTGCCTGTTTGTGAAAGTTTAACAGAATCCTGTAGTTTCGGGTTCTTTTATTTTTCAGTGATGTCATTGTCGTTATTCAAATGCTTTGAAAAATGCCCAAGGGTATTTCAATCTCCAGACTCACAACCTTAAAAAAGTAATGTCACAAACACTTGAATTCTGACAGCATTTTTTAAATTTAGCTGTGATTTATTCTAGTTTGTTAGCTCAATATGTTTTATACTGTTAACTTGGCACAGTGCCATAGAGCAGGAAAGATTGTAAGTGAAAATACTGCATTATTTATGACTACAACTTGATATATGCAATTGTTTATGCTTTTACTCTTAGGGGACACTGTAGTGATAAATAACACGTCAGATCAAATAATTTTTACAAAGATGCTTGGGAATGTAGATGCTATATTAGCGTGCTCCTAAATTACACTTTCCAGCATCAAGCATTTGATGGAAACTGTGTGTCTTCACACTGAAAAGACACATTTGCAATTACTTTGTTACTAATGTATTCCTCTTTCCAAAATGCCCCATTACACCTTAATTTTTATTTCACCACTTTCCACTGATTACTTTTTTCCGCTGCCTTTGACTGTCTATGTGTTACTCCTTTAGTGGAGCAATTATTCTCACTACTGCTCATTGTTGTCTCTGTCTCATGCTGCTGTGGAATATAATTAACGTATTTCCTAATGGTTTTCTTGCCTGCAGAGTTTGGCCACTTGGGAGAATGAAAACAAGATCTACTGCAAACAAACTCTTATTGAGGGAGATGGTCCCAAAACATACTGGACTCGAGAATTAGCTAATGATGAGCTGATTTTGGTAAGAACCTTGAACTCCCTCAACACCTGCACCATATTAACAGGGTTTTTTGTTACTACACAGTATGAGTTATTATTTTTTTCTTACTTAAATCTATCTGGAAGGCTACCATTTTTACAATCTTCTACCTTACAATTAATACATTGCTTTTTTTCCTTTTATTTTTAATTTTTTTAAACAAACGGATATGTATGCATGTCCTGACTTGCAGATGATTGTTAAAACTTTTACCATACTAGTACTGGTAGAATAATCACAAGTTGGCGACTTCTGCTCTGTAAATTCACAATCATCAAAGAATTTGCTTGATTTATTGCAGATTTTCTCTGGTGAAAGTGAGATCAAGGCATTTGACCTCATTTCTGGAGAATCTTCTTTTTAGGCATGTGCATAAGACTGCTTCTTATCCATGGTCACATGGCATGTAGCAGGAAAGACATGCATGTTGTTAGTATGCTCTAATCCCTCCTGTTTATGAAAAACACGTCATTTCACCCCATATCTCTGCCACCTTCCCCACTTCCCCGATCACCTCCGAGTCACATTGAGAATTGCCTTCACGAGCTTCTTAGAAATACAAAGATTTGCACGTTTGCTGCCAGCCAATATCCCCTCACCCAGCAGTGGTGAGTGAACTTCCATCTGGCAGCAGGGTGACCATGGGCATTCTGAGCAGCGCCTCTGCAACCGCCTGGCCGTGCCCACCCTCAGTCACACACGCTTTGTTTATTCCAAATGTGCTTACTTCTGTTAGAATTCTCCCTGCTGCATCTTTCCTCAATAGTCACTCCAGATTAATTTACCAATATCTGCACCTGAGTAAAGACACAGTAGCACAGTTCAGCTCGAGTTCAGAATCATTTCATTGCACATGTTCTAACTAGTGAATTCTGGATAAATTGTTGATTAGATTGTTATGCCTCATCAGTTTGGACATGGAAGACAGGCTCCTGGAGTGGTGGGTAAGAAAACATCAAAGCAGGGAGGTTTTATTTCTAACTATCACACTAGCTAAACCTCTGTACTTTAAAAAACAAACAGCCTTCCCAGTGTTTCTCTAAAGCAGATGGAGTTCTGTTTTTAAGATTGTATCTGAAACAAAAACAGGACCCAAACCTAACCAAGCATAAACAAAAAGCTTCTAAGGTGTTAATATTATTCCAGACAACTTGGAACTGTTCACCCACATGAGGACGTGTGCTGTTAGTGAAATCACACTGATTTCTAATGAATGAATACCCCAGTGCTGCATAATTTCTTTTGACTCAACCACTGGAATTCTTTATATTGTCACAAAACTTTAGGAGGCAAAGTACTTTGATCTCTTCTTTGCATCTTTAGATGAAATGCAGTGGACAAAATATATTCTCAACTATAACTTTTCCAGCTTTCTAACAATACATTTCTGTAGTTTATTATTTAAGCAACAAACTGAAGAGGCAACTGTTAAATAAAGTGCACTGCTGTGAACAAAGCAAGAAAGCGCTCATAATACAATTGCCTCCTGCTAGCAGCAATGTGAACTTACCTGCTGGGGAGGAACAATGAACCTGGGTAAGAATCCAGAGGGATTACAAGATTTAAAGCCATCTAAGCTTTTTTCTTGTTTAATACAGTCTGTTGAACTTTTGTGAATTAATTATTTTTCCAATTAGGATATAAATTAGAACAACTTGCTTCTGATTAAAATATTTCCTTTTATGGGAACTCAGAACTTTCAATAAGTTGGTTTCCTGGTGAATTTCCTTGCCATTAGAATATACATATTTCTTTTAATCTGTGTATGTGTAGATTCAACTTCCAGTCATTACATATTGTGTATAAAAGAACCTAAATAATATGCCTAGAATTTGTTACTGCAAATACTCCTCTGAACACCACTGATCAAGCCACCTCTTAGAAGAACGTTCTGGTTGTGAAGCTAAACCAATGGAAAACCTCGAGTCTTTCAATGTAAAGAAAGCTTTCATTGAATCATTATTTGAGTGCTTTTTAACCCTGTCCAATTAACAGTTTTCCCTCCTAAACTAAGAAAACCAGAATGGCATGTACTGTTTTGCTAGCAGTCTAGCACCTGATGTTACAGTGATTTCCTCTCCCTACTCCTATCTAAAATGATCCTGATTTATTTGCAAAGGCTTTGTTAACTCTTTTCTGGTTTCCATTTCCTCAGACCGATCCCCTTCCCATCTCGGGCAAGCTGGAATTACATTCATTGGTTGCAATGTGTGATTTTACTGTGGCCATGATGAAAATTTGGTATTTGTTTCCAAGTGATCCAGATCATTCTGTCTGCACTTTTACTATTCAATATGATATACAGTTTCATTCTCCCACCTCTTTGAGCACAGTGACCTTTTTTGCTTAACTATTATGGCAATAATTCATCCTCAGGACAGGCATTTTCAAACCCTCATGGCATTTGATGGGACTGAATGTACAGATCTTTTAAATATGTGTGTTGGAGTTCAAGATCTGACAGCCAAAAGCTCAGCAATGAGGTGTTTCTGGGAGTAAGGGTGGTGTGAGACCTCTGGTCCTTTGCAGAAGCTGAAATGGCCCTTCTGGGGAAAAAAACAAACAAACAAAAAAAGGCAAGAAAAAAAAAAAAACAAAACTGAAAATTAACCCTTCTGGGAGGCAACAAAAGGTTCTACTGGCTGGAGAGAGACAGAAGAGGATAAGCTAAATTTTCTTTTCTGTGGTCCCTACTTTTAAAGCCCCAGAACATTCCTTCACAGAATTGGGCTTTAGAAGCTAAACTATTGAAGGGATTGGCTGAGGTGTGTTCAGCAGCTGTAAAAGGGAACAAGGTAGGAATAAGAGCCCTTAGTGAGACAACTCTATTGATCTCTTGCCTGTCCACTGTGTTTGGGTTTTTCATCACTCCAGTGAACAAAGATTCCATATTAGATTAATTTATTTTATGCTTGGCAAATTTCCTTGGATCTGAGTCTGCAAACCCCCACTTGTATCTTACTTCTTCAAAACCAAGATCACAGTGAGAAGAAGAGATCTCTGTATTCTTCTTTTAAAGCCCTTTGTCAGTAATCAACCACTTCAAAATGTTTGTGTGTTACAAATTAAACTTAAATCGATTTCTTTCTTCTTCCACCCTCAGAGCTTTCCTAGGGATCTTTAAGACCAGAAATTAATTCTCATTCAGTTTTGCTGTCCATATTGCTTCAAATATTTAACAGTTCCTGTCTTCACACTTCTCAAATCTCCCTGCTTACCTAAGGAATGTTATCTGTTCCTTTGCTCTCTCTGATGTGCTTCAGTAAGGCTCTGCTTCTGTTTCTCTATCCAAAAAATTCTTTCAAGAAGTCTTGAGACTCCTTATTCGCTATTAGATGCAGATGCAGAAGAAACCAAGAAAAGTCATACCCAGTTTGAAAGAAGTTGCAAGAAAGAATGTAAACTGTATTAGACCGAGGCATGAATTGAAGAAAGGCTTGGGATAACAGGCAGGGGGTAAGAAATTAGTTTTACTGTGTTAGTATTGGCTCCATAAGTTTTGGAGCTTTGCCACATAATTTTGACCTAAAATGCTGCATTGCTTAGGGGATCCATTTGTTTATGGTATTTTCCTAGTGTAAGGATATATTTTTCTTTCCAACCCAGCATTATTAAAAAAATACATTTATTAGCCCATATAATTAAAGAAAAAATCAGTGTTTAATTGCCATGATTACCACAGAGCTAAAATAGAAACAATCTTTCTTGCATCCTGGCAGAAGAATTCCTTATGTCCTTCAAAGATATTTCCTTGGAGTAAAATGATGGTCTTGCAAGTCACATCATGTCCTCTGGTACACAGATGCTGAGAACACACTATTTAGTAAGCAAAGGTTTTCTTTACCTTCAGTTGCCTTCAGGTCTCCTTAGCTCCTTGCAGCATGGAGAATAAAATTGCTCTTATGAGTAGATAAATAATATTTGGCTCATGCAATGGCAGAGGTAGGTCTGAAGTCCTGTTAAAAAAATAGTTCTTTCAGCCAAGGAAGGGGAGGATCAAGTTCTGCTTTATAAAAAGATGGTCTGAAAACTAGAACATTGATCTAAAACTAGAACATTGCAAAGAGATCTTTTATCAGAGCTGTTTATTCTAATCTCATCTGATGCACTTGCTGGGATTTCAGTGCTGCATTTTTAGAATTACTGAACAATGTAGATAAAAATTACATGGAATGTGCAAGCAAGGGAGGATGGAAAGGATAGTTCCCCACCGAAGCCCACATTTATTTGTCTTGACTGCATCTTTATATTGTATTGTACTTTAGGATTGTAATGCATACACAGAGTCAGGATATCTGTATTTACAACTCTGCATTCATAAACTAGCATTTGAGCAATCAAGATCGGACTATAACACAAAAAATATATATTTCTTTTATTTGTTTGAGAATTATGACCTAGAATTAAGTGCCTTTTCTTCCCTTTGTTATACTCACAAGGTTTTTGTTGCTGTGTGTTTTTGTCAGGGACATTAATGAGCTATCAATCACTTATGTAAGTCAGCAGAACAAAAGATCTGCTCTTTGCAAAGTTGAAGGATACTGCTAACAAATATTGGCTATTCAAATGAGACACATTTATATTCAAACCTTAGGTGCATTGCTGCTTTCATGGCTGCTCATGCCTCTATCGATTTAAGTTTAATTTGTAACACACAAACGTTTTAAAGTGGATGATTACTGAAAAGGGGCTTTAAAAACAGCCTCTGACCACATTTTACACAGTTCACCTATCACACAGGGGTTCTCAGAATCGATTGTAGCAAGGGTCAAAGATCAGAACATTGGTGGGGGTTCAAGCATGGTTTCTATTCTACATTCCATCTTCAGAAAAATCATGCCATAGTTGATTAAAACTAGTGGACTGTGGAGCCTAGATGAGCGAGCGAACATTTTTAAATGATTTTGCTGACTTCTGAAATGAAACATAGTATGTGAGAAGGCTCAATGCAGATTTGGAAAAAGATCTTGCAGCAGAATGCTGAAATGTGTGATGTGCCTCAGCCTTGTATCAAACAGTGTCTAACTATCTAAGTGTTTAACTTTTCTGTAACTTTTGGAGAGTGATCTTGTATAAAATCAATTCTCAAAAGAAGGGTCTAGTCATATCAAGCTCAGAAGGAGGGGTTTGCTGCTGTTCCCATTAAAGCAGCCTTGACAGAAGTTCAGAAGCCTGTAATAATGCACACGTGTGTGTTGCATGGGCCTAATGCTTTAATTTACTCTTTACCATGAGCAGATTTACAAGGGGGCTTAGGGATCTACAGTCCCTGCTCACTACTACAGCCTTGTCTGGATCACATCCCAAACAAAAAAAGAAGCCAAAGCCATTTGCATTTTGGCTGCACCCCATTCTGAATGCAGCCTTTCGTAACATCACTTGTAGCTTAGATGTCCTCTGTGCGCTGGCTTTTAACTATAACTGGGAGATACCATTGTTTCAGATCTCTGTCATTCATTTGCTGCATAACTTTGAAGAAATTGTATAATATAGCAGTGCTCAAACACAAATACTGACATCTAGACCCCTTGAGAAATCATCTAATTTTGCGTGATGCTGTCAGTTGATATCCTGAGGAACATGAGGTTTTGAATTGGGTGATTTGCTATTAATAGCCAAGCTTGAAAGTGAGGGCTGCACATTCAGTGCCTATGGCCTTGTAAGGATCGACCTTTTTCTTAAAATTTTGTGGGAGTCAGGAGGAGAATGGAAATAGACAACATGTCTTTGTTGTGAAGATTTATATCTTTATTCTAGATAACATGGAAGTGTGCACGTGGACAAAGGCTTTTCTGAGGATTCATTTAAGTAATACTTTCTTTTCTCCATCAGTTTGCTGATGGAATCCGTCTTCCTTTTGTAAGTTGCCTCTGCATTTTGATCAGTCATGAGCAGATAAAGGGGTTTCTGCATACACTGGCAGAAGTGATCTTTCCCAGGTGATTGTTTTGATGACACTCTTCCTTATACTGTGTGCTCCACTTACCACAAAGCCTCCTCAGCATTTATAAAGAAGGCCTTCAAAAAGCAGATTTGCTCCTACAGAAATATATTACTGCCCTGTAATTCTCTTTTAATCTCTCATGATGTCAGTGGTCATCAGATTTTGAGTGAACTGAGAGAGGTCAATTTATTGGATTATCCCCCCTGCACAGGGCTTTGTTTGCAGTATGCTTTTGGACTCTTAGCTACAGATTATGACAAGCTAAGTGAAGAAGACAATTCTGTAATTTGCAGTGGTTGCACATTTAAAATCCTATTTTAGATTTAGATAGAAGCCTTGCCTTGTAGCATTTTATGAGGTAAGTGGGACCTTTCCAAGCCGATGAGAAGGTGGTATTTGAAAATCCTCCTGTTACATCTGAATTACATTCTGTTGCATCCTGCTGTTACATCTGAATTACAATTTGGTAGTGTTGCACTTTTTTTCAGTTGCTCTGATGCAACTTCACCGTCAAATAGCCAGGACTGCTCATTCTCTTTTCACTTGGAACTTCTACTGCTTTGGGTCATGGAAATCTTTAAAGTCTGCCTATTGGAACAGGAACTATCACTTCTTTTGTGTCTAGAATTAAAACCATAGACACTAAACTGCTTTATCCTACCACCAAATAAAAGGATTTAAATGTGAAGAATAGAGGAATAACACCCTTTGGATTTGGATCCTCCCCTGACCTTGTAATTGTGCTCTGCATGATTTCTATCTCTTTGCAATCCAGATTTAAAGACATTATTGTGTTAAATTATAGTGGTTTTCCAGACTGTGAGAATGGTGTGTTGTGGAGTCCTTGTGTGTAGCAACTGATTTTTTTAAATTTGGGTTCCCTGAATATGTTCATATTTTCTGCACTTGATTTTTGTCCAGAGTAATTTGAATGTAGTCCTTTGCCTGAAATTTTTGGAAGTCCAGAAGTCTAGCTGGAGCTGGATGCTGAAGTACAAAGTGAGGATCCTGCGTCCTGTGTCACAAACATGCTGAGTTGTGACTCTGAATGCACAGCAGTCTGTGGTGCTGCTGCTCACCCATACTACTGAGCTTTCCCAGAAAGTCTTATGTCTTTTTTCTTCCTCCACAAATTTTCATTTTTATTTCCACACTCCCTCCTGTAAATCTTCCAAGGAAGCTGCCAGTCAGACAACACTGATGTCTTAGGAGCAAGCTCTGCCCAGGAGCACAGTCTTAGAACTGGACACTGCAATTCCAGAAGCTCAGACCTACAGTGGCTCCCTTGCAGTACGAATCACATCTCTTTGCAGCTACTCTTCCCTGCAGTGCTCCTTTTCAATAGAACTGCTGATCTGTTCTGATAACAACTGCTGTTGCTTAGCTTTAGGGGAAGGAGTTTCTCTCTTAACTTGCCTGGAAGAACAGACATCAGTTTGTCAGAGAGGTTACATGAGTTTTGGCAAACGGCTGCTGCAGCCTTTCTCAACAGAATTGAGTGATGTGACATCCATTCCCACCTCACGATGTGGCTGCATGGCTGTGCAGCTCCAGCTCTCAGACTGGGGCTGTGCCAGCTCTGGGAGAGCACTACTCAGGAATTGTTTTACTACTGTTTCTGATTTGTGTGGAAGGAGCAGCAGGGGACCCAAGCCTCCCTGTGCTTAGCAGTGCCTGAGTGTGAAAGACAATCACTGTTGCAGGGATCTTACAGTCTCCACAGAAAACCTTAAGCCCTGGATGGTCTTGACTTTTGCTTCCTCTCTCTGGCAAAACTCCTGCTGAAATAATTTTTCCTTTGTGGATCATGTGGAAATGTTGAAGGAAGCCATAATAAGAGTATTTGCAGCTGGTGCTGTGAACATTAGAGAACTATCCACATCCTTTAATGCTCATTTTCAGGTGTCTTAATGTATAATCTAAAAGTATATATTAAGCACTGATATGATATTGATATGCATAAAAACAAAGTCTGTATCTCCAAAATACTAACAGACTTGTGTCCCCAACAAAGTGAACGAAGTACAAGCCAAAGTCAGTTTTAAAGCCAAGTCTTTTCAAACTATTGGCCAAAACAGGTGTAGAAAGCATTAAAACAAATAGCCCAGCTGAATTTTCATAATGCACTGAGGTAGTTCTTAATGCATGCTTTTCAGTGAGACCTTGGCACTGACCACAGCCAGACATCCCACCTCAGACCTTGTTAGTGCTGAGCTCAAAACCTTCTGTCTGCATAGCTGAATGTGAAGTTTTTTGCAGTCTCTATTTACTCATGCTTGCCCGTATTGTTTCCTTCATGCTTAATTGCTCAAATTTTAGCTTGCCAGGCCTGAAATTACATACAAACACTTTGGGATTCAGGTGGCTTTCTCAGACAGCCCCACAATCACTGTCCTGCCTAAATGTTCTGATAATCTGTAGGACATTCCAGATCCTTCTCATGGTTAACAAACTCACTGGTTAAGGGCACAGTGTCCTGAAGGAAGGCTGTCATTGAACTGCCCACACTCCAGCCTGGAGGAGAGGCTTTGGTACCCCAGCAGGGGCTGTCAGCTGCTTGCAGCAGCACTGTGTTTACAGGTATACATTCTCCTGGTCTTCATCTCTCCTCCACTGACTTCGTTTGCCTGCTTGGATTTATATCTGCAAATATCAAAGAATACCTTTGGAACATGCCATCTGAATTCCACCCTCAGCATTTCTAGTTCAAAGCGCTGCAACTGGTTTTAAATATAACAACAGTACATTCCAAATTCACTTTATTTTATCATGTTTATTTATCAATTCATGCCAAGAAACTACAAAAAAAAAAAAAAAAAAATAAAAAAGAGAATTTATGCATCATTTATCATTCTGATAAAATCCATCCTGCCTTGAAAAACAGGTCATTTACATTGCATTCCTCTTTCAAATGATTTCTTTCTTTACTCTCATCTGTCAAAAGACATAAGAAAAAGTATTTCTGCTGTAGAACTAGTTACTTTAGTAAAAATAACACTTTGAAATGGTGTTAAATGTTTGCTGGTTCTATCTCTTTTGATTGATTTTTATTTCTTTTCCAGACCTTTGGTGCTGATGATGTTGTGTGCACAAGAATTTATGTAAGAGAATAAAAGCATCAATTTACTTGTCATCTGGGATGAAGTGGAGAGCTGTGAAAATCCCCAGTGTAACGAGTATCTGTGTGTGCTGTTACTAACAGTGTTGTATGTGACCGTGTGTGTTCTATCCGAACCCAGATCCTCTAGGTGTATTTTGCTTTCAGTTTTCATTTCAGACACTATTCCTTTCCACTTTTATGCCATCAATTTTCATGTCTGCTTTGTATTTTGTAGTTGTCACTTGCTATGGTTTCCTCAGTTATTAAACTTGTTGGGCATAACTCACAGCTGTTTGGGGGTGTTTTTAATTGAAATCCCAGCAGTGCTTTGGTTAGGACTGAAATACTTTTTACCCTCTGCTGAAGTCAATGTGGAGCTTCCCTGCTGTTGGCAGGTCCTGTGCTGTCAGGGAACACCTCCTAGGGCAACACAAAGGGATGGAGAGCAAGTGGATGGCAAGACCTTTCAAAGAGCTGCAGGCTGCTCTCTTGAACCCAGAGCTCTGCTTCTTTCCTTCTTTCTGTCCTCTCCTTCTTCCTCCTCTCTCTCTCCTGTCCTCTCTTCCTCCCTATTGAGGAATAATTCGTGTATGCTGTGATTGCTGGGACTGTGGTTAAGCTGAACCAGACAAGACAAAGTGAGATATTTCCCCTTTCCTGCTACAGGAGAAATAACATCATGATCATGACTAATATTCATTGTCATCACACCCAAGCACCTGATCAGAGAGCCAGGAGAACTGACAGTTTACTTGTTTTGGCCATAAAAAAATAAAGCTGAGGAATGCTGCTTTTCTCCTACCTTCTCACCTGTGACAAAGAGAATTTCCAATGGCTTCACTCCCCCTCCACGTTCCAGCTCTCAGTTCTGGTGATTCAACCTTTAATTCTTTGAGCAACTAAGTGTTTCACAAACCAGGGCCATAGTTCAAGAATTAAAAAACCACCACATTTAATGTATTTATTCTGGCTCAGAGTTCTGGCCGCAGCACTATCAAGTATTAGATTCAAGCTGAGCAGAGATTCCACTAATGAACCAGATATCCTTCAGTTCTTCAGCCTTGGAAGTGTCTGGAGATTGAGACTAGGAGCACTGCTTATTTCACTGCAATATCCAATTTTATCTGACCAGCTTTTATTTTTGCAAGAGTAATTTTTCTACTCCATGTCACACAGTAATACAAGATTTTTAAGAGGTTCAATGTTAGCAGAATGTATGCCCTGTTCACTGGATTCTGCTCACTACTCACAACAGGAAAATAGGACCAAAACTTACTCATCTTGGGACATCCATGAAAAATTACTCTGTCTCTTCATCCCTCCCATGGCTATGCAGAGAAATCCCCTTTGACAGGATTGCTGAACTGCCATAAAGACATCAGCCTGCAGAAGCACAAGAGGAGAGAAACATACTGTTTTCTGTCTCCTCTGCTCTGACAGGTCATTCTTGCTTTCTCTGCCATCAGCACTCAAGATACCATATTGCAGCTGAAAGGAGCAATCTGAAAGGGGGTTTTTTCTTCCATGCTCTAACCTTAAGCCAAATCCTTTTTCTGAGACCTTGGTTCTATTGATATCTATTAAGTAGAGTGCATGCTGGCCAACACTGAGGCAGGAGCTGCAATTAGTTCACTGAGGTTTGGATGCAGCTGAGGCTACCCCCCTGTAAGAACGAAACCAAGAGGGAGGAAGACAGGACAGGGATCTGTCTTTATTTTCTATCTTCTTTTAAGATTCAAATTAAAATAGTTGAGTGTTTTGTTATAAACTAGTTCCACTTCAGGAGTATCTGGATCTACTTGTGCAATCAGCTGTGCCAAAGGGACTCCAGAAAAAAGTGCCAGGCTTTGAGCTTGCTCAAAGCTCCTCAGGGATGCAGACAAAACTGTCTTGCCACATCAAGGCTGAGCAGTCAATAACACTGTCTTGCAGGACATGTTGGCACAAGTCATATCCCAGAGCACCAGGAGCCCACCAACACCACAAAGTTGTGGTGTTGTACATTCAAGGAGTTGTGTGGTGGATGTATATCCCAGAGCACCAGGAGCCCACCAACACCACAAAGGCTTTGCCTCTACCTCCAAGAAGTTGTGTGGTGGATGTGGAGGCTGGTACAAGCTGAAGAAGCAAGTAGTACAGACAAAGCCAGTGAGTAGCAGGGCTGTTTTGCCATTCCAAGGAAAGATGCCACTCTCAGCAATTACCTTTTCCACCTGTGTCTAAAACAGCCCTGATGCACAGTTTGTGCGGGTTCAGCAAGGTATTGGCATGGGCCTCAAGCTGTCCAAAGCCAGTGAGTGCATTTCATAGAAGCAGCGACTGCTGTGTTTCATTTCTAGGAAGGCTCAAGCTAAGCTGTTGGGCTGCTCAAGCAAATGTCCTTCAGAAAACTTTCCCATCAACTGGAAAATACCAAATTAGGTTTCCATCCAGTTGGCAACTACAATCCAAATAGTAAAGCATGAGCTATGTAATGAGCTTGTAGGAGTTATGATTAAAAACAGGCTCTGAAGACGTGAGCAACGCTGAATAACTGGGAACTTTCTTCTTACAGGCTTGAAGCTGTTCTCCTAAGCTTCATTTGCAGTCTGGCGTGACAAAAGTTCCTTTCTTTAATAATTTCAGTGTAGAAGCTTTACCACTTGATTGACTTTTTTGAAGTTATAATAAATGTACCGGTGCATGGGTAAATTCCTATGAACAGAGACTAGGACTGGTCCAGGGTGTTAGTTTTATGGCTCATTGTTGAAAGTGCAAAGGCCAAATTGCATTTCGTGACTCCTCTTGGGTTTAAAAGCCTTCAAATTTAGGCAGTCAAGGATTTGGAGTGAATTTATTGGCCAAAAGCCTTGCAGTTGTCTCCTGCTTTATTTTTTTCATTGCTGAGATTAAGCTCCTTTGGGAACATGGATGTTGAATAGTGCCATGGCGGCCAACAGAGACAGTTTTATCCCATTTTTGTGTAAAAAGTAATGAATTCACATGCACACACACCCCCCTAGATGAGGTGATGGAAGCAGAGTAGAGTTACTGTACTGTGTTGCATCCACAAAAATTAAGTTTCGTGATGTCTGAGTGTTAAATGGTTGCTTCGCAGAACAAGGTCCTGAAAGCTTCAGGCAGCTGCACACAGGAGGGAGGGACCTTTACAGGCACAGGTGCCTGTAAAAGTCCAAAGGAGAATGGAACACCTAGGGGTTACATAAGTGGTTTGTCAATTATTTGATAGCATGTGATGTCTGAAAAAGCTCCCAGGGATTTCGATTTCACAGATACTGTTTTCCAGATTCAAGTCAAAGAGACAATGTCTGTGGCTCTAGGTAATGAGCCAGGGACAGAGCCTGGCTTGCAGTTACATGTGTCAGTGGGCAAGCAGAAACTTCCCCTCATGCTTCTGTGTTCTAAGCAACACTTTTGTCACTTGGGCTGGAAACCCTCTGGTTCTAAGCACTGACTGGTGACAAACATGACCCACCTCTGTCTGGATGGCTGCTGATTGACCACTGGAAGCACCATTCCCCCACCTGCTGTCTTGCACTTCCCTGTGCCCTACAAGCCAAACTCCTGAGCTCTGCAGGATGACGGTAATGGCCAAAGGACTTTCTGACTGTAGAAATGAATGCATGAGGGAACTTTCCTTGCGAGTGTATTACATACTACTGTTTATGTTTGAGAGCATTTCTCCACACAAAGGAAGCAGAACACATCCAGCTAAGAAGTGAGAAGTCTTCCTCCTTGAAGTTTAAAGGCTTTGTCTTGCCATTGTCCGAACAGTCCTTGAATGTACAAGTACAAGTCAGTATTCAGTATTATGCCTAAACATAACTTTCTACAGCTGTTTTAGATATCCTCTGTATCCAAGACGTCTGCACAAAGCAGGATCTTCAGGGGAGCTGTACCTTTTTTTGGAAGGACAGCAGCAGACCAGGGACAAAGCCTGAGGGCATCACAGCTGGGGTGGCTGTGACTGGGCAAGTGACTGCCAGCCTCTGTGCCTGTAGGCTTGGGACTGAGCACTGCCCAGGCCATGCTGATAAGAACTGCTGCAGCAAGACAAAGAAAGGGTTTTATGGGTATCTGCAGCAACATGGCACATGGGTAACGTTTCACAACAAGAAGACTTGCCCACATGAGTGGAACACTAGGATCTAGCGTTCTCTGCCCTAAGGCAAGAAGAGTTCATTTTAGGATTTTCCTTTGATTTTCTATACTTTATTCTTAAGCTGCTTTCATAAAACATTTATTGTTTTTCTTCAAGAAAAATAAACATCCTAACCAGTAAACAAATCAGACTGTGAGTTGGAATCAAAATAATCCACAATGGGAAACTCAAATTATGAAAAAAATTCTCAGCAGAAATGTGACACTGCATTGAATAGTTCAGTTCACAAATATCTGTCTCACCAGCTCTTTTTGTTGGGATCAGAGCTGTCCTACTGCGTGCTTTGTGCTCTGGAGACCTAGGGCTGCTTTAGCTCAAGTGATCGCTTCTTGCACACTGAGTGCAAAGACAACATTTCTGCTAACAGGAAGCCCCAAATCCCACATGGCTGCAGAATCCAGAGTCTTTGAATATTTTTTAAATTTATGCTCTCTGAGCACTACCATGTGAGAAGTGATGCTCTGCTGACATGATTTTGTGACAGGCACACAGTTCTTTGGCCATGTTCTCAGAACAAAGAGGAACAAGGTACCTAAACTCTTTTACAAGCTTGAGTAAGATTTACCATTAGAATTTGCTGCATGGTCACACACTGCAACAAGAAAAGAAGGTGGTGAGGCTTGAAATGGTTTCAGCAGCAGACAATATCCCAGTCTTCTGCCAGATACTGCTCTCTTCTGCAAAAACCAGTAGCTCATGAGGAGAGGCAGTTCAGTTGCTCAAGCAGAGAAGATGTGCCAAGCCTAGCCAAAAGACAGCCTAGGTGACTGTCTGAACTACAGATTTCTTAAAAGCCCTGCAGACATGTATCTCAACATTAATCTTCACAGATGTTCATGTGGAGCTGGGGGACTGATTTCATCATAAATCTGACGAGTTCACAGAAAGTTTTCAAAGTGCTGAAGCTTTCGTGTCTAACTAGCTGCTGGTGCTGAGAGATAAAGGCACAATTGGAGTTGTAGTGTTCTTACAGAATTGCAGATAGGAATAGCTATAGTGGGTCGGTGTAAAGGTCCTCTGTCCTCCAGAATTCAGTGCCTAAGAGTCTTCCCTGGGACTTCTGGGAGCCTGCATTTCAAAGTTACTCAGAAAGATCTTTTGAGCACTAATATATAGTCCATGTCAG